GATACCCTCTAGGTGATAGTTCTTGATTACTTTTTGATAAATAATTCGTTCTTATTGCGAAATAGGAGCACTATTTATCAATCTCTAATAAAAGAAGTGAGGAAATTCTGTCTTTTTTAAAGACAAAAATTTTTGAGGCGAAATACCCAAAAAGAAGTTTGTAAAAAAATGAATCCACCTCAACAATATAGAACTTATCTACAACTTTTCTTAGTTGCGTTTCCAAAAAAATGCGATTTTTTTATTCAAAAAGTGCCTAAAGCTTTCCGTTTATATTATCGCACAATTAAACAGGCCTGAGAGGTCTAACGGTTCCTATACGAAAGCAGTTTCCCAAATATTAATTGGTATTCATATATTTTTTTTATCAAAACGTAACTCCAAGAATTCTTGAATTATAACGCGATTTCGGTACAACCTGACATGGAATTTTGAGTCTGTTTTTGAGTCAATTTGTTCCAAACTATACAGGGTGTTTTTATATTAGTGACCTTATGCGTACAAATAATGAAATTAATAAGCCAAGCCAATTTGATTTCTTTCAGATGGAACATTCTGTATGTTTGCAAAAATTCGATTATTTTCACGTATTTGTCGAAGGAAGATGTCACAAGGTTGGAGATTATGCAATTTTTCCAGCCAGTTCAATTTACTCTATAGTAAACTACTTAACAAAATGAACGTTACACATCCAAATTTCGTCCAACTTTGAAACTGGATAGAATCTGACTGCTTAAAGCGAATTGATTTCTGTTTGAAGCGTTTTTAGTGCATTTCCTCTTCAGTTAGTTTTTCGCGCTATTTTTCATGTGAAATTTCAATTTGGAAATCTGCTTTGTTTGTATAGAAAAACAACAAACAAGTTTAAGATTAGCCAGTTTTTCCGAAGTTTAGCTCACTTTTTTGGTCGGTTTTTGAAAATCGCTCGAGCTACAAAACTCGCTTTGATTCTACCGAATAGAGCATTTAAATGCGCTTTTTTCCGTGAAATATGTTAACTTATAAATATACATCATGTTCAAAAAAATGACGAAGTTCAAGATTGGTTGGTTTTTTGCTCGTACTGTGAGAACCGTTGTTTCTGCTCAATAGAACATTTAATTCCGCATTTTTCGCGTAAAATTTAAATTTAGAAGTGTGCTTTATTTGCTTAAAAAACCGCAAAATTGAAAAAACTTGAAACCCTCTTGCAGAACTCTCATATTAGTATTCAGATATTTTTAACATTTTCGAGTTACTTATGCTTTTAATGTTGGACGGTCCGCGGAAATTCGACAAATTTCCTTGCTTTCTATTTCTCTTGAAGCTAGAAATTTCAGCTCATGTCTCAATAGTAAAACACATTTCTTGCAATGCTTCAAAGAAAAAATGCCAATGACTATTCCGATACTTTAAACCGTTTACTACATCAAAAATTGTTCAAGAGGTCATCAACTATTGATGTTCTAGTTATGGAAAAAATAATCGAAAACAAGGAAAGCAATAAAAATCCCTCATATACAGGATGCTCTCTTTGAGCCGCTTTTTCATCATTCACAAGATTTTTGAATTTTAAATATATAAATATCAGATATAAATCCCTACACCAGGTGTAACACGGAAACGAAATGGGGATGTAGTTTTTAGGGGTTGAAAACGGTTTTTTACTAGCTGCGGCGAAACGTGACACTCTAGCGGAAACTTTCAATAGAAAAGTTGTAGATAATAAAAAATCAAAAACTTCTTTATTTAACAGTTTTTATATTTATTTATATATATTTTTTATAATATATAATTATAATTTATATATATATATTTATATACAGACATTTATATTTCGAAAGTGCCGCATTTTTTACTAAAACTACTTTAGTGTGCGTTAAAGAAAATTAAAAAAAGAAGTGAAACTCGGACAGACAAAGAAAGCACATGGGCGCCATCTCAGTTTAAAAGAAATCGACAACAGTGCAATAAAGTTATATAAATGACACTGACAATAGTGACAATGACACAAACCTTCAACACGTTATGCGTTTAGGAATTAAAGATAAAAGTAAAAGTATCATAGTTTTGTTTGTATTTTCAGTTTCCAGCGCTTGCAATAAAACCGTAAGTAATAAATCGATTTCCATTTTGTCCAGCTGGGCTCGACGTTCGATATTGAATAGAATGGCCACCATTGGAAACATTGGCTTTGGTCTTTTAATTTTATTGGTTCTTTGGATTATAACGATAATAGTGTTTGTTGTGGCCATTAAATTGCAGAGTAACATTGCATGGGTTGCGTTGGGCTTATCAACCGCCTTGACTGTAGTGCTGTTAACTATACCAACTGAAAAACACGTCAGCCTTCATGTACCGAACATTGTGGTAAGTTCAATGCCAACTTCTAATCCGTTCTACACCTCTGTTGCTTTATCAACTCGTACAAGGTTGTTTTAACGTAAAGTAAACTAGTAGTTCAATCACTTATCCAGGTAAATACTTTCAGGAGAAAGACTATATAATCATTTACAAGAAACTCATCCTTACTTTCCTGGTGGCCAGTCTCGTAGTTGGACTGTTGACCTTCTTTATCAGCTACTGCATCAAGCCAATTCGGCCGAAACTCTTTAACAGTTTCCATGAGAATTGACAATGCTGCTCAGAAGACATCAACGCTTACTGAGACTGACCAGAAACCTGTTCACCTCCAGCAGCGTGAATAGGATTATTAATATAAAAGGTAATAGAATGTTACTTCTCAATTTGACTATAACAAACTATAATAACTATAACAATTGAACCCTCAGGCAACGACGAGTTCCTGTCGAAAGTTATGAACTCTGAAAATCCAGTGATAGTGAACTTTCATGCGGAATGGTGCGAACCGTGTCACATCTTAACACCAAAAATGAAGGAGTTAATAGAGCCAATGAGTAACATAGACTTAGCAATAGTTGATGTAGAAAATCATGCAGAACTAGTGCACACTTTTGAAGTGAAGGCAGTGCCTGCGGTAATAGCAGTGCGAAACGGACTTGTAGTGGATAAGTTTATCGGATTGGTTGACGCCACGATGATCGAGAACTTGATTACGAAACTGGGACAAAAATTATAGTGTAATTAACGGGGAGTGATTTTTAGTGCCATTGATCGGACAGACTTTTTGCCAAGAAATGTATAAATAAATGTGTTCATAGTTCTCTTTTAATAACGTATAAGAAGACGAATATCCTAATATAACAAACAACTATTAAGCAAGACTTAATTCAAAAATCCTTGTTGAAGTCCTTATCGGAGACATTGGGCAACTCTTCAGTTTGATGTAGTTCAGATACTTCAACTAAAAAATAATAGTTCTCTACTGCCCGTGTACAAAACACGGATCGCAATTCGATAAAGGGCAGTTGCATCACCGCCTGCACCTGAACCGTCCCTATAAAGTAATACATAAGTTCACTTACATGTTCCTTCAGTTTTCAGAATTTTTTCTATTTCCTTGTATCGAGTGAATACTAGCACATACTTTTCGCTCAATTCAAAGTTATTGAATTTCATTTGATATAGCACTTTCTGGATGATGTCATGATTAAGAAACTTCCTCCACTCGACTGAAAAATATTTTCACTTTTCTAGTTTAACCAAATTTTGCAGCAACAATGTCCCTTACTTTGACTATTTTCATCTTCATCAAGTGACTTCAAGTTCTCCAAGGTTCTAAATACAAAGTCAATTTCCAGCTTATAAAACAGGGAAAGACATCCACACCTAAAACAGTAAATCACACTTCTTAGTTGCAATAATCCGAGCCTAATCAGCAAGTAACTCACACATTATCCCCAGTTTCGTGATGTATCCAATGTGATGTCTTAAACGTAACATAAATAAAGTCTAACATGTTATAACAAACGTCCAACGAAACGTGGTCACTACTCAGCAAGTAGTTTTGCAACAAAATTGCCAATACACAAAAACAGCATGAATCTAAAAAAATGTACTGATTAACACCAGAAGTATTTACTTACCCACTGAGAAACGCACTTTCAGTAAAATACAATACGCCCCTAGATGTAGCTTTCAGCATCTCATTGCTGGCGTTTTTCCTGAACAAATATTGTACAACAATCTTATAACGGGAACAGATCTTTAACAAAAACATTATTCGCTTAATAACCTCGGGTTTGGGCCTGGCAAATATAATCTGTTTGAAAATTTTGCAAAATAACTCCATGCACTGGTTGTTTGCAGTACTAAAACAAACAGCTTTCCAATTTTTCAACCATTTGGTTGCATAACAAATCCAACCTGTCTGGCTCATTATCCAACCGCGCAATACTTTCAAGAAAATTTAATGTAGACATCAGAAAATCGGTGGCTTGATGAGCAAGTCTCTGAAAACTGGATGTTCTTAATATCGGAATTACAAACCGCCGAAAATTTGCTTACATATTTTCCAATGTTGCTTGTAAGCGACAGCAATAGTCGCAACACATAGTAATCATTCAGTACCGTACAATTTCTATGTGGAATCATTTGAGCAAAATCCTTTAGGCTCTCTAGCAACTGAAGGGGAGAATTTTTGCAGACAAAGTCACAAACCAACGGACAGTACAACATCAAATGAGCCATTATGGTTAACGTCTTACTTGCTTGGCTGCCCAAATATCCTTTACGTGAACTGCGAGAGACAACTTATATCAGTTCACAGGGGAATTTTGCAAGAATCCTCCCAACCTTTCTATGCTCAACAGCGATACGGCATCTAATTGCTGGATATCTTCGGTCTTCATATGCAATCCATACTCGGCGACAAACTCACTTAGATCTTTCAACAATATCAAAGTAACGCAGAATACCTTCTGAGTGGCTTCAAGACAATCTGGACTGTTCAAATGTTCCAAGTTACTGTTTACCAGCTTGAAAACATCCGGATAAAGGTGTTCTGTGGTAATGTTGTTGTTATCCATGGGTGAACACAGGTGATTGAAATTGGGCTGCCTTTGCAGGTATGGGATGGTATTGAGGCTTGATCTGTGGCACACCTCTGTGATCGTGTGAATTTCACAACAAGTCCCTGTGATGGCATCAACGGGCAACGACTTCAGAGGGTAAACTGTAAGAGTTGAAATTTAATTCCGGATGTATATTTTACTTTAAAAGTGCCTGGCCCTTACTCTGCTCCACAATAGGCTCTTTATACACTGCACGATGGCTATTCTGATATGACTCTTCTGGTTTAGAACTGCAATTTAAGGGCTTGACTGCAACTGGCGGGGGTACTTGTGAGCTATTGAACGTTTCCACATTGATCCTTCTAATTTCAGCCAACTGCTGTCTCAAGTTCGCGATTTCTAAATTCTGCAAATAATAGGCTTTACATCGTTGGCCCCAAACTAAGTTAGCTGTCTTACTTTGAATTCTAAATCACTTGTTATGGACTTTACTTCCTTCTGGGCACTGTAAAACTTTTGACGCCAATCATTCGTGGTTCGCTGATGTTCGGCTTTAATAGTTGAAGCCGTTTCCCGTATCCTACTCCTCAAAATTAGGATCTCACCCTCTTTTTCTTCGTTTTTCTGTTTGAGGTTCTTCACTTCCACCTCAAGCTCCTTCAAGGACCACTTGTTGCTGGTGGAGGGGACATTGTGCACCTGTGTTGAAGCAAGGAAGGCCCCTGGGATTTTGAATTCGTTGTAAGTTGACGAGACACTTGAATCGTGTGACTGTGATGGTACATCGTTCTGGAAAATTTTAACACTGATCAATCGACTTTGGTGCCAGTAGGAAAATGGTATGGGTTTTGCCTGGTAAAGACTGTAGGACGTGCGTTAATCAATTTCCAAATAGCACTGCACATTAAATAAAGCTGTAGGTAACGTTTGAAGAGCAAATTTTAAAGTTTCACCTGTGTAGCCTGCTCGAAACATTTCTCAAGTGCCTCTGGATCCAAATCGTCTTCCCATAGGTCTTCGTCCTCCAGCCTGGGTTTCTTGCCACTTATTGCTCGATAACTTCCATTTCTTTTGGTCATATTTTTTGTTTGAAAATCCAATGTTTATCAATCACTCGGTTGTCAGAAACCGATATCGATGCTGCCGGCTTTCCTGAGTTTGAGGAAAACTACTTAAGTTAGAGCTGAAACGGTTCTAATATGAGCCACTTCATTGCGAGACTAGATCATTGAAAAATAATTTCAACTAATTAAACTGACAAAAATTGAGAAATTATTAAATTAGTTATAAAGTTTTGCCTGCTCTGACTTGGCAACTCTGCTGCTATGTCAACCATAGAAAAAGACAAGGCAACATAACCTGGCGTAGAGTGAAAATTCAGGTTAACATAAACACATTCAAACAGTTTGAAAAATGGATAGTGTTTCGAAACCTTTGGAAGTTCCTGAAGAATTTCCATTCCCCTTTGCTCCATATGACATTCAGTTGGAGTTTATGCAAAAGTTGTACAAAGTGCTGGATCAAGGACAATTGGGAATCTTTGAAAGCCCCACTGGAACAGTAAGTTGTTCATATTCGAGGGTTTAAACCGGTGAACGATAAATATGAACTCAGAAAATTGAGCTTATGTGACGAGTACTCGATGACTAAAACCCCTTTAACACCTGCCAAAGACCTGTGAATGCTTTCTAGGATTGGCAAGTTCAGTTTAAAAAAAAAACAAAAATGTGATTAGTTCTATAGTTATTTTACCGCCTTCTGTAAAGCAAACTGCAGATTATCTAACAGCAAAATGCAGCCCTTAATTTACACTAGTTTAACGTGAATTTACACCCGATCTTGTCATATTAGGGAAAATCTCTAAGTATAATTTGCGGTGCAATAAAATGGCTCAAAGACTTCAACAATAACTCGAAACAAACACTGTCCGCTCATATTGAGGCGTTGGAGCAGGAAAAGCAAAATTATGCCAGTGAGGAAAAGGACTGGTTCAACGCCCAGTCTAAAGGCATTGAAATAACCAGAATATTAAATGGTCTGAAGGTATTTACTGCTTAATGTGAGTTGTATCGCAGTGGTTGCATGAAAATTTCTAGATTGAGCAAAAGCAGCAAATCGACTACGAGCAAAAAATTGAAAAAATCAGGAACGAAAACAGCAAGAAAAAAACCAAATTCTTCAAAAAATCTAACAAAGAAACACCAGCCATTCCGGAGGAAGCAAATCAAGACAATGCAGAAATTGAAGACGAAGACATTCTGCTGAATGAAGACACGCCAGTAGAAAACGATGAAGATGATGAAGACTCAGATGTAAATGCGACCTTTCAGCCCACACAGGTGAATGTTTATACAAAACTTTGAACTGCGCTACAAAACAAGCCATTATTCTTCTTATTCCAGATTATAATAGCCAGTCGCACCCATTCACAACTATCCCAGTTTATTGGCGAAATAAAAAAATCAACATTTCAAGACGATATTCGGGTGGTCTCACTAGCCTCCAGGCAAAACTACTGCATTAACCCAACCGTTAAAAAGTTAAACAGTATGCCGCTGATAAACGAAAAGTAAGATTCTCATATACGAAACAATCGAAACTGTTTGCTTATCCTGTTAGGTGTTTGGATATGCAAAAAAAGGGCCAAACAAAATCAAAAGACTGCGATGGAAAGGTGTTGAAGAGGCAAAAGAATTCAAATTGCCAATGTCCGTATTACAAACAATCCAATATAGAAGATCTACGGGATTTTGCACTCAATCAAGTGCACGACATTGAAGACTTGGTGCAAGTGGGCAAAGAGATCAACGCCTGCCCTTACTATGCGAGCCGCAAGGCTGCTGAGGATGCTGAAGTGATTTTCGGTAAAGTTCCGCAAACATTCAGTCAACCTTTGCTTAGAGGCACATTTTTCAGTACCTTATAACACTTTACTACATAAATCCACCAGAGAAGCCAACGGGGTTAAGCTAAAAAACAACATAGTCATCATTGATGAAGCTCATAATCTACTGGAAGCTTTGGCTCAAATGCACGGATCAGAACTAACTTATCCTCAGCTCTACTATTCCTATCACAGCCTCAGATGCTACAAAGAAAGATACAACATGATGTTTTCCACAGTAACTTTGCGGTCTTTAAATCAGCTAATCTTCGTGGTAAAAAAGTTAACGGCGTTATTTGGTAAGGGTGTTTACCTAACTAGTGGATATCCAGTAGACTTTGATTAGCAAACTGTTCCCAGAAACGGACTTTAAGGACGAATCAACCAACATTTCCACTCTGCAGAGTTTTGTGTTGGCCGCAGGCATCGACCAATATAATTTTTTCAACTTGATAAAATTCTGCAAAGCTTCAAGACTTCCCCAGAAGGTTGGTCGGCTGTTCATTCTTCTGGTAAAAAAATGTTGCTTTGATATTTTCAGGTGAGATCATATTCATTAAAATATCCCACTAGCGAGGAGCAAATAAAAAAAGAGCCGCCGAAAAAGGGTGTAAGGGACTTCCTGGCCTCTATAGGAAATAAGAAACCTGTGGAACAAAAACCGGTGGAAGCCCCAAAATTTACAGTTCCAATCAACCCCCTTTTAGCGGTGATTTCCTTCTTAGAGTCGCTAATGTACAGTTACGATGATGGCCGGATTTTGATAACAAACAGCCCCGACAAGCAGAACTGCAAACTGCAATTTCTACTGTTAAATCCTGCGGGAAGTTTTAGTGACATAGTCAAAGACGCCCGATCTGTAGGTAGTTTGATTGGATGCGAATCCAATAGGGCCTTAGATGGACTAATTTCCAGGTGGTTGTGGCTGGTGGAACCATGAAACCCAACGCGGAATTTCGTGATAGATTATTTATCGGCGCTGGTGCCTCAGCAGCGAGGATTGTTGAATTTTCATGCGACCACATTATTCCACCTGAAAATATCCTGCCCATTGCCGTCACTAAAGGTCTCAACAACGAAAAATTGCTCTTCAATTTCACTAACAGAATGTCAATGGTACGTTTATGACCAAAACAACTCAAAAAGCCCACTGTTTTTCCATTCATAGGGCAATTGCTTGAAAGATATCCTGAAACGTGCGTGTGAAACCGTTAAAGGTGGGATCGTGGTCTTTTTCCCTTCGTACAACTACGAAAACTGGTTTTTCGAGCACGTGAAAGCCCTGGATTTTGGAAGAACGCTATTTCGGGAACCGCAGAAAGCTGCATCAGTGGATGAAGTATTAGAGAAATACGGCGCAACGATTCGAAAGTCGAAAATTGGCGCTATTTTGTTTAGTGTAGTTGGTAGGTGAAAAATAATATTCAGGGCGTGTTAAGGAACAAGAAATGTTTAGGTGGCAAGCTCAGTGAAGGCCTAAATTTCAGCGACGATCTAGGCAGATGTGTAATTGTTGTGGGCTTGCCTTACGCCAATATCACCTCTCCAGACTTGAAGGAAAAAATGGCCTTTCTGGATAAAAAAGAGGTGAATTTTTCATGACACTAAGCTTCACAGTGAGACGCATCGACACCTTCCAGGGCCACGGAATGGGTCAGCAATTTTATGAAAACTTATGCATGAAAGCGGTGAACCAATGCATTGGAAGGGCAGTCAGACATAGAAACGATTACGCAACTGTGCTTTTGCTGGATGAACGGTATGGACGACCAAACACTCACAGGGCCCTGCCAGACTGGATCAAAAGGTCTCTGCAGGTGCGGGGAGGCAGTGAAGCTTTTGATCTAATAATTCAGGTAATTAAATGAGACTTACTGTTCTGTTAGCCATCAGCATTTTCGTTTGCGTTTCAGTTCTTCAAAGGAAAAGAAAACATTCAAGTCTGAGAAAGTTTATTGGTTTGAATCTTCCTGGTTGGGCATTATTTCTATGCGTTTTCGCTTGGAGTAGTGCTTAATTTTGTGTTCCAAACTCTCTAAAATGTATTTTTATTTGTGTTTGGCTAGGTTTCATTACAAAACAATTTCCTTACCACATTTTTGCCTTTTTATGACTTCAGTGTAGTGTTTTGCCTTTACTCCGCCTATTAAGCTTTCACTTAAACACCTTATTTCTTGCGGTTCTTCTAAGTGTCCATATAGGCTCTTTATTATGTCTTTCGCCATTACACTTCTAAAATAAATCAAGAGTTTAGAGCATATTGAGAATACTGCGCTAATGAGAACTGACTGTATTTCTGCTAACGTCCATATCTGTTGCAGCTTTTCCACCACACATTTAAGACTGTCTTGGCTCACTTGCCATTCCACATCCTCATACTGACAAAAAAATAGATTTAACGGAATCTCACTGGCCATATTGTAGTCAGGTTTTCTAAAATCGAGTTTAGATAAAGGCTTAAAGAATTTTGCTTGAAATGGCATCTATATACCTTGGATTTTTCGCAACATCCAGTAGTTCTGGTATTAATGACGGTTTTTCTCTATTGGTCCCAATCAGGAACAAAATACCCATAATGTAACGAATCTGATGCCATATAAAAGCATTGCCTTTGATGGTGGCTATGTAAATGGAATATTCTGGAAATTGCTAGTTATTATCTATGCATTGGTGGGTTATTATGAAGCATTACCGCTGCGCATATCACTCGCATCCCAAGGTGTAATGGTGAAATCAAATATCTTCCTAATAAACTGAACAACGCCGTTCCCTACGTCCATTTTTGCAAAGTTTCTAAAGTCATGACTGCCTATGAGATGTGTGGATGCCTCAATCATCTTCTGCAAGTTCATACATGTTTGCAAAACCCACCAAAACCAACCGGACTTACTTACATCAATATCCAGCTTTCCTTTTGGAAAATAATACTTGTAAGTCCTAGAAGTGCAATTGAATCTAGCGCTAAAATTATCTTCAACGGGGGCCCAGGCAACGCATTGAATATTAGCAGGCAGGACTCGGTTCAGAACCCTGCAATAGTCGATTTCTTTGCTTAGATCATTGTCTTCGCCGGCCAGTTTGCTCCGGACATCAATTGAGATCACCTAAAAAGGATGGATTTTTTTTAAACACATCGATGTTTTCCATACACACACCTGTCCAAAAGAGCTGACGCCTTTATCAGTTCGCCCACATCTATGATAGTTAGACGAGGTCCTCTCTTTGATCAAGCAGGTTTTAGTTAAGGCTTGAAATAAATGGAATTCTACGGTGTTGGAAGAGTCTTCCTGGACGGCGAAGCCTTGATAATCCCATCCCAAATAGTAGAGGTGAAGAAGAATATGTCTGAACCTACACCTAGAAGGAAAAAACGCTTAAGGTTGAGCAGCAATAGAACAGGATGAAAGGTACCTGGAAAAGTCGAATTGGCTGATATGTGAACTCAACTTGGTCGAATGGGTGGCTTTGTTGATTATATTTTGCAACTGGATGTTATGGGCCTCTGTTGAGCGAATCCTTGCGATCAGTTCCTATTAAAATAAGAGTAAGGTAAAGGATGTTGGTGATTTAACAAGAAATGTCCATTGCACCTCTTTGGTCAGCTTTTGCAAATCTTCTACAGCGGTACTTCGATTAGTTTTCTTTATTTTCACTGTGCAATTCATGACTGGCTAACTGCAATTTTGCAATACTGTAAACAGTTTGCTCAATAACAATTAAAGTCTAAACAAATTGTTTGAAGTTTTGTAAATATTGACCATTAGCAACAATATGGGGTTAGAATCTCAGATTGCATATGGTTCGAATTTGGCACATATCGTCATTACGTCACGAGTTGATAGTGACGCTTCCAGAAGCTAAGTTGACTATTTTCAGGTAAACGGGAAATTTACGCATTTTTCCACACGTCGTCTAACAGGAAAAATATAGTTAATTTAACTTAGCTTTAGTACGTTTTGTTTACAAAAACTATAAAAGGCAGAATATTTGCATTTTAAAAATATCATGCTGGACTCAGCTCAGATGGAAAATCAGCATTGTCTTCTGAACTGTTCGGATGAACTGTTGAAATATGCTGATCCAAATAATTCAAATCCGCAAAAGTATCTGAACACCAGGAACACTTGATTTCGGTGTGAAGTCTAGCGTGCGAAGTCAGAGCCACTACGGTTGTAAATCCCTTGCCACATGTATCACAAACAACAGTATTTTCTTCCTCAACGTGATGAGCAGTCTTCAGATGCCCCCTTAAAGAGACACGCTGTCGGAAACTCTTTCCACAGAACTCGCAGCGATATGGAGTCTCATTTGTGTGCTGTCTGAGATGCGTTCGCAAGGCGTGCTTGCCCGAATATCCTTTGCCGCAGTATTCGCAAATATGAGGCCGCATCTTCATGTGCTTCATACTGATGTGCTTCGCCATGTACCCTACAATGGAACGACTATAAATCCCAAATCATCTAAATGCGAAAAACCCTTACCTTTGGAAAAGAAGCATTTGCCGCACATTTCACACTTGTAGTTGCGCTCTTTTATGTGATCCTTGCGTTGGTGGTAAAACAGCTTTGTGTTGGTTCGGAACGATCGCCCACAATCTTCGCAAACGCTCACATTTGTCTGATGGTAGTACTTAGTGTGCAACTTTAACCTGGCAGGGTTTTCGCAACTGATTCCGCACAGCTCACACATAACAGGGGCGTGTTCATGTAGTGCTAAGTGTTTCTTAAAATACCCTTTCTTCACCTGCTTATTGCAAATGGGACACACTGAATGCTGATGTGTGGACATGTGGTTTTTATAGTGGATTTTGTTGGTAAAATGCATCTGGCAAATGCTGCAAATCATTTTCAAAGGCGTCTTCGCCTTTGGCTTGGCAACTAAGGGGGGACTTGCTTCTCTAGTTGCGTTGTTTTGCACTGTTTCCCGGAGTTTTCTTTTTTCTTCCAGTATAAACTCTGGTTTTTCTAGATGCATCTCTTCACTTGGCGCTTGTTGAGTTTTACTAGCAATGGGACTACTTGCAGGGGACGTCACTGTTCCCATGCTTTCTTCAATGCAATCAGCATTCAAGTCTTCACTGTGACTAGTTTGATTAGACTCAAATATGTCGCTTAATGGTTGCGTAGGAGGGCTATGTTTAAGTGCCTCTGGAGGAGCGGCAGGAGCAGGACTCGTAGTATTCTTTGAACGTCTAACCAAAGACAGTAATTGGTGGGATCGTATGATTCTTCGTCTAAATAAAAACGCAGTTTTCACTTCCTTGGCACATTTCAAACACGACACTTTTGGAAACGTATCAGTTGGCTTGATCTAAAATTATATCAATATTGAATGTATTCCTGAATGTGAGTGAACAGGATTAAAAGCTTGAGGCATTGGCCAGTTTAGAAAAGTTTGCCAAAGCAGCTCTCACCCTTATAGAGGTCAGGATTTCAATCATCCTGGCGAAATCTCCGGTGAAAATGCTGATTTTGCCCACAGCATGATTGAGGCAGAGCCTACAGGTCTCCAATTGGTCTTGATTACTTAGTTCACTCATTGTTGTGTTTTCACATAAACAACACTAAAAGGTGAGGTTAGTGAACTGGTGTCAGCTCTTCCAGAACGAATTAATACCCAATAGATACATGCAGAGTGTACAGTTCAGTGCAGTGGTTCTTGTTAGCAACTAAAAAAAGTTAAGTTAATAAAATTAGCAGGAAAATACGCTTTGTGCGAATGTAGGTTAGACTGTGATCCAGACATTAATTTATGGTTATGTCCACAGACTACAAAGGCTAATCAGTAATTGATATGTTATTATTGTTATTCAGCTAGTTTTGCGTTAGTTGCCATGAATAGATTGGTATATGGGAGTCCTGCTTTATCGGACAACGAAACTGTGCTCATTCGCGAGAGGAACGTGACCCTTTTTGATGGATTCGATGAAAGCAGATTCCAAGAGGGCGAAATACTGATCACTACACATAGATTGTTATGGGGCCGCCCTGAGGCGATGGCAAGGGGACAGAAGTGCCTCACCTTCATGTTCGCACAGGTTACTGACGTGGAGGAGGAACCGCCGTACCACTACGAGAGGCATCGCAAAGTTGTGGTTTACCTGGATTTTTTCCCTGATCCTAATGCTGACAGAGCCATACCGGAAAGCATGTTCAACTTCATCAAGTTGTGCTTCAACGAAGGCTTCAGCAGCGATGTGATTGGCAACATCCAGAGACAAATGCTATATTGGCAAAACTACATTCCGCCACAAATCCCAGATAATCAGCCCTCAAGCAACCAGTTGCGGCAGATTGAGCTGCGTACGGGCATTGTGGGGATTGAAAGGGGCCTGCAAGCGAAGCAGAGCTTGTTGGATGGAACTCTAACATTGGCGTTTAAAGACTTGACCAAACTGATGTGCATGGCTGGAGACATGGTGAGACTGTCTAAGGTGATTTCCAAAAAAATAAAGGTAAGCGTGCAGTTGTGTAGCTGAGCCGCTAGGTAAATGTGCTTATCCCAGGATAGGCAGGGCGATATTACCGAAGATGAGACAGTGCGCTTTAAATCCTACCTCCTAAGTCTAGGTATAGACGATCCTGTGACCAGGGACGCATACAAATCTAATAACCAGTACTACAAGGGATTGGCTAAGGAAATTTGCGAATTCATTATAACCCATATAGAGGAAATGGGAGGCATGATGGCTCTGCCTGATGTCTATTGCAGAGTAAACCGAGCCAGAGGTAAAAACTCCAGTTGAACTATTCAGTTCACAAGTGGTATCAAAGTCTTTTTTAAGGACTAGAACTTGTATCACCTGAAGACGTGTTAAATGCCTGCAAACTAATGGAACAATTGGGTATGCCGTTGAAGTTGTTCCAGTTCAGCTCCGGAGTGATGGTGCTTCAACTGTGCAATTTAGATGGTGAAAGCATTGCTGAAGCAACAGCAGTTTTGGTAAGTTTCGTAGTGATGTAAACACGCACTGGCAATAAAGAATGCTACTATTCTCAGGTGGAAGACTGCGGTTCTCTTAGTGCAGAGGAACTTTCCCAAAAACTAGGCATTTCCGTGATTTTGGCAAAAGAACGCCTCCTAGTTGCGGAAAAGCATGGGAAAACTTGCCGCGATGATGCAATAGAAGGTCTAAGATTCTACCCCAATCTGTTTCTAACTAAGGATCAGTAAACTTTGTTGAAAATTGTATCTATAATTATTACCATACATGTTTAACATTAGATAAGTTCTATATATAAGTTTTTACAAACTTCTTTTTGGGTATTTCGTCTCAAAAATTTTTGTCTTTAAAAAAGACAGAATTTCCTCACGTCTTTTATTCCAGATTGATAAATAGTGCTCCTATTTCGCAATAAGAACGAATT